AAAACAGTGTGCAGGCACTGCCAGACTGTGGTGAAATATGAGTCGGGGAATATGACTAAAAACAGTCATGGGGACTGCAGAACACAGCATTCTTGTTAGATTGATGCAGACATTGACTTTTACCGCAAAGAGACCTCTATCTCACTCATGGCTTGTCCTCTCAAGTGGTGGAAAGACGATGCACAAAGTTACCCACTGCTGTCAACCTTGGCTAAATCATATCTCTCTTTTCCCAGAAACCTCAGTCCCAAATGAGAGGGGTTTTTTTCTGTTCCAGGGGACATGCCCAGAGATCCCAGCTTTTACCAGATTATAGTTATATGATAATTTTCCTTAAAAAACTCATCTCTATCAAAGTGAGTGAATGATTAAATGTTGAATGTGATGAGTTTTCAACAATACTAGATTGAAACTTTATTTGTTTTATATGGTTTAATAGTTTTTTGTTATTAAAATTGAAAAATTGAAGTTCCTGTTTCGAAACTTTCAGATAGATAGCTAATTTTTATGTCATTGATATGTTCAGTGCTAAGGTAAATAAACACTTTTGGCACTTTTTGATTCTTTTCATTGGTTTTGTTTTTCCTGTAAATTATTCAATAAATACCGTACCGTGCCATTCATACCGAGGTATTATCGTACCGTGAAATTCTGATACCGTTACATCCCTACTGTCCATTGATACTATAATCCCCTTTTCTTCCATGTGTTCAGAGTAATGAGAATACTTCCATCACAGAAAAATAAGATACTGCCATCTTTGTTTTTGTCTGTTCCTGCGGAGAGCTGTGATTCAACTTGATTACACACATTTTAATTCAGCAAACTTTTTAAAAAGCGAATTAATCTAAAAGTTAACTCAAGTTACATAAAAAAAACACTTTATTTTTTTTAAGGGGCACCTATTTTTCAAATTTCACAAGCTGTAAGATAAGCCTTTGGTGTCTCCAGAATGTGTCTGTAAAGTTTCAGTTCAAGATACCCATCAGATCATTTATATAACCTGCAGAATCTGCCCATTTTGATTTCTGAGGACAATGTAGCTGTTTTTGTAGCCTGTGGCTTTAAATGCAAATGAAGTGCTTCTCTCCGCCCACCGCTCCGACGTGCATGTTCCTTCTCATGCGTTACGTCAGGCGTCAGTGATAAAGACATACCAGACAGACACGGATAAGGTCACTATTCAAAAATACTAAGTATATTTCATGTATTTGTGGTGGAGTTTATTCAAACCTTTCTGAAATGATGAGTCTCAAACGAATGCTGTTTGCAGCACACACACACACATATGCACGTTTACTGATTATAATGGTTAAGAATTGCATAGCTATTTTACTCTATTACAAAAATTCTCTGTTTTAAAAAACGTTTTAAACGTATAAAATTAATTATTGAAGTGCAGCTGATTATACAGAGTTATCACATGTTAATTCAGTTTCTTTTATTATTAAGTAGACATGGCAACTATCAATCTATTCAGTGGGCGGGGAAAACTGCACTCCTGCATCACGTTGAGGTGGGCCTCAAAATCACTGGGAATTAGATCCTATTTTAACATCAGAAATTTAAAAAAGAGACTTGTTGTGTTTCTGTCACTCCAATATGACAGTGCACACACTATATCTACACACAGTTCTGTTAAAACAGCTTACAAAAGTAGATTTTCATCATAGGTGCCCTTTTAGAAATGTTACTTTACTTGTTACTTAGAAAAGTAATATTATTACGTAACTTGCTTTACTTCGTTACCCTCAACACTGTGTAAGTACAAATGTAATCTTTTGTGTCTATATATATATATATATATATATATATATATATATATATATATATATATATATATATATATATAATAGAAATTATATATTTATTATTAGAATTATAATAGATATATATTTTTTATTATTATTTAAACCTTTAATTGACTTTGAAAACCTCTTTTCATTTCTTTTCAAGAGTGTCCTGGAATATTTATTTTTCCACTTTGCCAAAAACAAAAGTTTTCAGCTATTTATTTTCTTTTTATTTAGACTGTACATTCACAGATTACACAATATATTTTTAAAATTAGATACTTACACTCACGGGCAGCACGGTGGCACAGTGGGTAGTGCAATCACCTTACAGCATGAAAGTCGCTGGTTCGAGCCCTGGCTGGGTCAGTTAGCGTTTTTATGTGGAAATTGCATGTTCTCCCTGTGTTTGCATGGGTTACCTACGGGTGCTCCGGTTTCCCCCTACAAATCTAAAGGCATGCGGTACAGGTGAATTGGGATGGCTAAATTGTCCGCAGTGTATGTGTGTAAATGAGTGTGAATGGATGTTTCCTAGTGATGGGTTGCGGCTGGAAGGACATCCGCTGTGTAAAACATATGCTGGATAAGTTGGCGGTTCATTCCGCTGTGGTGACTCGAGATTAATGAAAGGACTAAGCCGAAAAGAAAATGAATGAATGAATATACACTCACCGGCCACTTTGTTAGGTACACCTGTCCAACTGCATGTTAAAGCAAATTTCTAATCAGCCAATCACATGGCAGCAACTCAATGCATTTGGGCATGTACACATGGTCAAGATGATCTGCTGCAGTTCAAACCGAGCATCAGAATGGTTGTTGGTGCCATACGGGCTGGTCTGAGTATTTCAGAAATCTACTGGGATTTTCACACACAACCATCTGTAGGGTTTACAGAGAATTGTCAAAAAAGAGAAATGATCCAGTGAGCGGCAGTTCTGTGGGCACAAATGCCTTGTTGATGCCAGTGCTCAGAGGAGGATGGCCAGATTGGTTAGGAAGGCAACAGTAACTCAAATAACCACTGGTTACAACCAAGGTATGCAGAAGAGCATCTCTGAATGCACAACACGTCCAACCTTGAGGCAGATGGGCTACAGCAGCAGAAGACCACACCGGGTGCCACTCCTGTCAGCTAAGAACAAAAAACTGAGGCTTCAATTCACACAGGCTCACCAAAATTGGACAATAGAAGATTTAAAAAACGTTGCCTGGTCTGATAAGTCTCAATTTCTGCTGCGACATTCAGATGGCAGGGTCAGAATTTGGAGTCAACAACAAGAAAGCATGAATCCATACTCTCTTGTATCAATGATTCAGGCTGGTGGTGGTGGTGTAATGATGTGGGGGATATTTTCTTGGCACACTTTGAGCCCATTAGTACCAACTGAGCATTGTGTCAACGCCACAGCCAACCTGAGTATTGTTGCTGACCATGTCCATCCATTATCCATCATAAAGCATGAATAATCTCAGAATAACGGTTTCTTGAGCAGCCGACAAATCTGCAACGACTACGTGATGCTATCATGTCAATATGGAGCAAAATCTCTGAGGAATATTTTCAGTACCTTGTGAATTCTATGCCACTTCTGAAGGCAATAGGGAGTCCAACCCGGTACTAGTAAGGTGTACCTAATAAAGTGGCCGGTCAGTGTATACAAAATTAGAATAGCAATACATTTGATACTTTAGTTGGAATTGTAGGTGAAAAACAACTAAAGAAATTGTGAAAATACTTTAAACTGTGTGGTTGTAAATTAATAAATAAATAGTTGCACATTCGTTCCTTCATTTATTAATTTTCCCTCGGCTTAATTCCTTATTTATCAGGGGTCACCACTGTGCAATGAACCACCAACGATTCCAGCATATGTTTTGTGCTGGAATTTAATCTTTGGACTGTTTGAGAAACCAGAGCACCTGGAGGTAAACCACGCCAACACAGGGGGAACATGCAAACTCCATACAGAAATGCCAACTGACCCAGCCAGGACTCGAAACATTGACCTTCTTGCTGTGAGGCAGCAGTGCAAACTTCTGAGCCACATCCCACAATAATTGTAACACAATAATAATTATTTCACTAATAAGCTGTCTCGTAGCAAGCAAAATGTATTGAGACACCACCAGCAGCAGCACTCCAGTGCTTTTCCCTCAATCCTGGCAGACGCCAAAAAAAAAAAAAAAAAAAAAAAAAAAAACAGATCCAGATCCTTTCCGGATATGTGTAGTGATCCAGTCCGGCTTCCACCTCATACCTTTCTTCCAACGTAACGTTACCCTACTATGTGTGTGTGAGTGCAGGAGCGTGTGTGTATGCGCGCGTGTGTGAGAGGGAGATCTAGCCTTGTTTACAGCGTCAATTCAACAGAGAGAGACTACAGGATCTAGTCTGCATCCTTCACATCTCCTAAATGAACACGAAGCCGATCCTTCAGACATCATCCTCCGTGAGTCCTTCGCTTTCCGAAGGCAAAAAATCCAGCTCCGAAATCTCAGACTGAAGATGGTGAGAGGCAGAGAGAGACCATTTTAAAGCCTGCACGGACAGTGTTTTGGCATCTTTCTGAGTTTCTCCGCCGATTTGAGGCCTTGGTTGGGAAGTGTATGGTTGGTGAAGATCACCCACACTAGAACGGACTGTTTTGGTGAGCGGATATAAAGCGGGTTTCACTGGGATAACGTTACTGAGAGAGAAAAAACCTGCATGTGAGGAGACCGACAACGTGTTTTCCCAATTTATCCTACGACATGGAGCGTGGAAATGCGGATTATCAAGGCGTTTTGTGTTTGTCTGGGTTGTATTCACATATATTGACGAGGAGAAGCTGCGAGAAATAACGTGAAACACATTTAAGGAGCCCGAGAATCAGTGCGCGTGAATCCGCCTCATGGTGAGGGCAGAGCGGGCTGAGTGTGCTGGAGAACCGCGCTGCTGAGGTGTCTGGAGGGTCCCGTCATAAAAAAAGCAGCATGAAAAATGGAAGAAATTGGATTTATTTGAGTGTTTCCACTGTGTTTTGTTTACACCTCTTAAACTAAGCTGGAAAACCCCAACTTTTGTCATATTTCTGTGTTGAGAATACTTCTGGAGTCAAGCATCATTACTTTAAAGGGTTGAGGTGTCTCTCCCTAATTTCTAATATTTTATTACTTTTTTTCCCTAAAGAAAGCAAGTGCTTGCCTTCTCTTTGTACAGGAATGAGGTCTAGCAAACAGAGGCGATATTGGACCTTGTTTAGTGGTCTGGTGCTGGTCCTCTCCACACTCTGCCATGGAGAAAGTAAGTTATTTTAGCATATACATATTACATGCATAAGCATTAGGTCATTAAATCAAAGTCTTTTGCTAATCTAAGAAAACCTTCTTCAATTTCTGCTGATCTCCCATGTTTTCAGCTTTCACTTGTGATTTATGGTTCCAGTTCTCAACCAGCTGTTTTCAAACCTGTTACTTTTCTCCTAATTGCTTGATTTTCCCTTCCTTTAAGGTTTTTATACAGTGAAAGAAATGGGAACGCACACAAACACACACATTATGCACAACAGGAGTGTCTGTTCAGTGTTTTGGCTATGCAAAGTCAAAAAAACACAACAAACTCATGCTACCTATGCCATTTAAATTGTTTTTATTTGTTTAGTATGTATTTTCCTACTGTACTTGTATATGAACTGAACTCTAATTGTGTTTACCTGTAGGTACAGATCTAAATTTAGCAGAAGAGCGCAAGTCAAGCATGAGTTATCACTATCATGTTAGCAGCTTAAAATTTTGGATAGCCCTGTCTGTTTTAGGTTACAAATCAACAGGTTCTTTAGTGCACTAGAAGTAAACTGTAGTGTTGTTTATCTAAGTTCATCTATATGTCAGCAATTGGCTCTATTTTTGATACAAGGTGGAGGAAATTATAACACAATGCATATTTCAAGTTCTAATTTATAATGCTTTGATAATGTTTTGGTAACCTTGATGCATATTCATCACCTTTATTACTCGATACATATTTTAATTTCTAATTTATAATGCTTTGGTAACCTTCTTGATGCATATTCATAGTCTTTATAACTCAATGCATATTTTAAGTTCTGATTTTTAATGCTTTGGTAATGTTTTGGTAACATTCTTTATGCATACACTGTAAAACCCAAAAAGTTAAAGTAACTCAAACCATTTGAGGATTGCAACAAACCGTTTAAGTTCAAAAACTAATCCTAATGAGTACTGTGAACTTAATCCATTTGAGTTAATGAAGCAATTTGAGCACAGTAAAACCTGATAAATGAAGAGAACTCAAACCAACTGAGTACTGTAAAACCCATTAAGTTAAGGCAACTCAAACATTTTAGGAAAGCGATTGCAACAAACCACTTGAGTTAAAAAAACAACTAATCTATTCAATGAGTACTGTGAACTTACTCTATTTGAGTTAAAGTAATGAGGTATTTAATAACTCATTACTTTCAACACTGAGTTCAAAACTCTTCAAATGAGTAGAATTTTCTTTCCGCAAATTTTGAGTTAACTACAATTAAATTCATTTGATAAAGTTGACTGTTGGGTTTTACAGTGTAGTCTTTATAATTCAATGTTTCAAGTTCTATTTTTAGCGCTTTGGTAATGTTTTTGTAACCTTCTTGATGCATATTTGTAGTCTTTATAACTCAATGCCTATTTCAAGTTATATATTCATAGTTTTTATAACTTAATGCATAATCATAGCCTTTATAATTCAATGTTTCAAGATCTAGTTTTTAATGCATTAGTAATATGCATAGCCCTTACAACTCAATGCATGTTTCAAGTTCTAATTTTTAACGCTTTGGTAATTTTTTTTAACACTCTCAATGCATATTCTTAGTCTATAACTCAATGCATAATTCAAGTTGTAATTTTTAACGCTTTGGTAATGTTTTGGTAACTTTCTTAATGAATAAAGTTTTTATTACTCAATGCATATTTCAAGTTCAAGTTTTAAACACTTTGGTAATGTTTACATTTACTTTTAGTCATTTAGCAGACGATTTTATCCAAGGCGACTTACAAATGAGGGCAAGGAAGCAATTTACACAACTTTAAGAGCAACAATGAATAAGTGCTATAGGCAAGTTTCAGGCATGTAAAGTCTAAGAAGGAAAGCATTAGTAATATATATATATATATATATATACATATTCGTAGTAGGCATGGGCCGGTATAAGATTCTGACAGTATGATAACCTTGGATAAATATATCACGGTTTCACGGTATTGTGATTACTGCTGTAAAATATATTCTTTTTAAAGTCTGGGTAAAAAACTAAATATTTTTTCCTCTTTGAACACAATATATTTTATTTTGAGAAACAGAAACTTTATTAGAAACTAATAAAGAAACAGAAACTTTATTAGTTTCAAAAACAGATTTCTTTTCAATTTAAAACAGTATTTTTGGATATCTTTTCTGCGTAAAAAAACGTAAACAGAAAAATCTTACATATACCTTAGGAACGGTATTACAGAAAATTTTGGTGGTTTTAGAACCTTGACCTTTCCAAACCATGGTATACCTTGAAAACTGTTATCGTACCATGCCTAATTCATATAGTCTTTATAAGTATGTCAAGTTCTCATTTTTAACGCTTTGGTAATGTTTTGGTTACCTTCTCAATGCATGTTTGTAGTCTTTATAATAGTGCATATTTCAAGTTACAATTTTTATCGCTTTGATAGTGTTTCGGTAACCTTCTTGATGCATGTTCATAGTTTTTATAACTCAATGCATATTTCAAGTTCAAATGTTCAATGCTTTGGTAATGTTTTAGGTAACGTTCTCAAGGCATATTCATAGTCTTTATAACTCAATGCATATTTCAAGTTCTAATGTTTAATGCTTTGGTAATGTTTTAGGTAACGTTCTCAAGGCATATTCATAGTCTTTATAACTCAATGCATATTTCAAGTTCTAATGTTTAATGCTTTGGTAATGTTTTAGGTAACGTTCTCAAGGCATATTCATAGTCTTTATAACTCAATGCATATTTCAAGTTCTAGTGTTAATGCTTTGGTAATGTTTTAGGTAACGTTCTCAAGGCATATTCATAGTCTTTATAACTCAATGCATATTTCAAGTTATAATTGTTAATGCTTTGGTAATGTTTTGGTAGCCTTCTCCATGGATATTCATATTTTTTTATTACTCAATACATATTTAAAGTTCTAATTTTTAACGCTTTAGTAATGTTTTGGTAACCTTCTTGTGGTCTCAAGGAATGGATTTCACACATGTCCACACATTTACTGTGGTCTAAATACAACCTGTGCAGTCTCGCTACTGCTTACTGTAAATAGAGTACATAATAGACTAGATAAGTTGCTTATTTTTTTTCATTGTGAGATCTTATGGAATAGTCTTAGATTAATGTAGATGTTTTTGGTTATCAATCAACAGGATTGTATTGTTGTTATGTGGTTACAGTTAGCGAGATTACTATCAGGTCTCTATTTGTTTAGTACGATAGGTTGGGACGCTGAGATGTGGTTGCCAGTAAACAAAAGTGATTTTGGAAGACAGCACATGACGGAGTAACGCTGACGTGCTAGTATGGGGGATGTTTGTTTACTTGTAACTGTATGTCTCATGTTGTTGATGCCATTTTGGGCTTGCATGGTGGCTTTGAAGTATTAGCCACTGCATGCGAACATGCTGAAAGTCATTTTTAATATTAGTCTTTATCCCACGTTTACAATGCAAATTCATTTTAATCAAATTTGGCTCATTTATGCATGTCTGTCATATGCACAAGAGAAAAAAGCAATCATTATTCAGTCTTTTTGAATTCAACAACTCAGGAAGTTTGCATAAAAATGAAAAACAGCTTCAAGTTTGACCACCGCAAAATTTCCATGTTTCCAAGTAAACTGCAAATAAGACCCCTTGATTCATCCGTTTCATCAAGAGAGAGAGGGGTGAAAAAAAATCTGCCTTTAAAATAGAGCATGTAAAAACAGCCGCTCTAGCAAAACAGACCTGGTTCTGTTGATTAGAAGAGTGAGGAGTTTGTGAAGTCTGTGTAATTGGGTTTTACTGTTAACCCCAGCGGTTGCAGGGCAGTGAGGTAGTGAGGCAGACGAGGTTCTCGGTGGAAATCCTAAGTATAACCTGTCTGTGTTGGCACTGAACAGTTAAAGAGTCCCAGTGGAGCATGAATGTGGACCAACTGGATAAATTATCTTGACATCAACTCATTGACTTATTTGTTGATTTGCCTTTTTTTTAGTTTATTTATCTTATAGTTAGTTTGAGATTGTTTAATACTACATTTTAATGCTGATTTCCGACATTGTAATAGATGTAATGGAATGTTTTAGAGCTAATTTTACATATATGGTGTTTTAGTTCTAGAAATTGTGACTTGATGTATATATTTTTAGGTATTGTAACCTTTGTGGTGACAAATTGGTTAAGCCTAGCGGTTTGAAGAATAGTTGCAAAGTATAAAGGGATGCACCGAATATTTGGCTGGTGAAAATTATTAGCTGAAATTAGCATTTTTGTTTTTTTGACCGATACTTTTTTGCATGGAATGCTTTTACAGCTATTATTATGTTTGCTGTTTTAGTTCTACAAATTGTGACTTGATGTCTTAAAGAACTTGTTTTCGTTAGTTGATAATTGATATAGTTGTAAACTTTGTGTTATGAGATTAAAGTGTGAAACTGATTTAAGAAAGTCTGTTAATTGATTTAAACAGCACCCCGCTATGATATAAATAGTAATGCTGCACGATTCTGGCAATAATGTGAATCACCTTTTTTTTTTGTTGCTTAAAATCAAGATTCTTTCTCACAATTCTGTGTATGTAAAATAAAAGTTAATATGATTAGCCTATTATTATTGTTAATTCTCAAACACATGGTAAAACTACAATAATATTAGGCCTATGTGTAGGTATACTGTTGCTTAAAATGCTAAATTTTGTATGATGGAGGATTTGAACAGACTTTCAATATGTCATGTTTGTTAATTCACAGTAAAATGATGACATCAGAATGTATCATCATAATTATAAAGTTGATTTATTATGTTTAAGACATGTTCTTGTCATCTGTTACTATTAGACCATTATATTTCTATTATAGGCTAGTGTTTTTATACTGACACAGTAAACATTTATTTTCATGCACAACACTTTTTTTTTTGTTTGCTATGAAAGAAAAAAAAATCAAATGCTTGTAATCATAACTCGATATGTTAATATAAATGTGCGCACAGGTTTCACTTTCATTTCAGAGTGTGGCTCATGG